ATAGAGTTGATGTAGAAGCCCTCCGTGATCAAAACCCCCTCCGACAGAGTACCAAAAAAGGCCTCCACATGGGATCTCACACGGTCACAGTCCTACGGCGATGGAAAACTATTTTCGTGGCTTCCTCTGAGAGTTTTGGAATATATGTGAATTTATAGGCCAAGGAGGGAGGCCAGGAGGTCTCCGAGTGGCCACGAGCCATAGGGGCGCCCCCCCCCCCGGCTTGTCGTCTCCTCCAGGGTCTTCTGATTTGGACTCCAAGTCTCATATGTGTCTTCTAGTCCAAGAAAAATCATCGCAAAAGTTTTATTCCGTTTGGACTTCGTTTGATACTCCTTTTCTACGAAACTCAAAAATAAGGAAAAAACAGAAACTAGCATTGGTTAATAGGTTAGTCCCCCAAACAATATAAAATAGCATATTAATGCATATAAAACATTCAAAATAGATAATATAATAGCATGGAATAATAAAAATTTATAGATACGTTGGAGACGTATCATAAATCACATTGTTTCGTGACTTTTGATTATGTGCCAATTTAGCAGTAGGGTGATTGTTGACTTTATAGCAAATGTCATAGTAAACTTGACGAATGTGACACGACGTTTCTCTAAATTGTGTCCAATCCCTATAAACGAATTATCGCGAAGGGTCACCTCATTGAGGCGTTGTAGTCCTATGTTAGAAGGGCCTTGGGTAGGATGGACTGTCATAGGCTCGGAGTCATGACACGACTCCTTGAAACCCTCTCCCTAACTCTCGACCGAGGTTGATCCGAGCGTCGATACGGCTCCAAGGACTCGACCCTGCAGCGTCTTGAGGGTAGGCTCCTAGATCTCTAGCGTTGGTCCGAGTTGCAATGCGGCTCCTCGGACCCGATCCTAGAGCGTTTTGGAAGCAAAACTCCAAGATCTCTAGTGCCGTCCCCTTAGTTTATCGAGGTGAGTGAACCTGTTACATGCCCATAGAGGCCATATATAGGGGGCGTGCCTCGACAAATGATTTAATGCCGCCCATGGTGGTGATATGTAGGAGGTGTAGTATGATAAAACTAGGCCCATGAGTCCATTAAAATTAGCCAAAGTTGAAGGTGTCCATAGTTAGCTTCATCCATGCATGAATGGGCCTTTTATTTTGCATTCTCTTGTGACTTATTGACAACGGCAACTTGCTTGGATTTTTGTTGTCTGTCTTGGACTTGGGTTGATTTCCCTGATCTTTCTTGACTTATGTTGACCACTTTGGGCCTTGTTGACTAGTCACAACCTATTTTTAATATATTTTTTATGTTTTACATTTTTACCTTTTGTTTTATTTTGCACTCTTGTTTATAATTTAAATAATTTTAAATATATACTATAAAAATATTTGGAAAATATTGAACAAGTATTTGAAAAATGTTAATCAAGCATTTAGAAATGTTGAACGTGTATAGAAAAACGGTTGATCATGTATTAAATAATGATGAATTCTTTGATCACGTATCTTACATTCTTAAGAAGTTGCTCCCTATTACAAGGTATTCTCTCAACATGCACACCCTCCACCTCAGCAAGCATGCCACATCAGCATTTCAGTTCCCACTACCACTATCAATCTTGCCATGTCAACAATTTTCTTACTTCTCTGTTTCAACTAATTATGCGATTTAATTTCTCTTTAAAACGGACTGATTCATCTTCGTGTTCTGTATAACAGATGAGAGATTTAAGAGGAGAGACGCATCCAATACGCAAACAGAAGAGGAGAGAAGCCCAACCGTCTGCCCCATGCTTTTCGTTCCACCTCCCTACGATTCAGTACCCAATCCTTTTAATCACAACCCATCGAGCCCTCTCGGAAACACATCGAGCCCTCACTTATCCCTTCCCAAGGGAAATCATCTACGTACGACGCGGCGGCTCCTCCGACGCGACCGCCGGTTCGGCTCGTCTCCGCGGCTTCCGGGATTATCTCAGGCAAAATACATGTGTGCCTGCGTCCTCGAGACGGCATCCGCGGTGCCCTTGTGCTCCCCTCCATTATCTGTCTCCGTTCCGGCCAAGGTAGCTCCGGCGTGAAGTCCCCTCAGTCCACAGGACCACCGGTCTTCCACACCACAGATGCCACTCTGGGGCCCTTTGGACCTGGGCTGCGCGCGATTTGTCGCCCAGTCAGATCGTGACCACATCCGAATCAGCCTATGCATGCCTTCCTCTACACTGAAGTCTGAAGCTCCTACATCCGATCCGTCTTGACTCCGATGTCTCTCTGGGCATTGGTACACCGGACGGGAACGTTCCATCGCCGGCCGCCCAGAATCGCAGATCGTCGATGAAGGCCTAACCTATGATGCCTCTATGTGTCGTTGCTCTGCTCCTCGGCCGCCGCCGGCTGCAACGAGCGGCAAGGAGTCGGGCTTCATCAGCGAAGACGACTTCCCCGGGACTCCATCTTCGGGGCTGGCACATCAGTTAATCAGGTGAGCATCAACGCACTTATACATTCACCTATGAGATGACGAATACCATTGGCGGCCGTTCGGATCCAGTGGAAAGGTGCTGAGGCGGACGACGTCCGGACTCCCTGTGTGAGACCTTTGCCTCTTCCTCGGGCAAGTCAGACAGCTTTGTCTCACTCAAGCGACGAGTTTTAAGCAACAACCTTTGCCTCTCACATCTTATAGCCATACCATATACTATGTAATCGTAATGCTTTGAGATCTTGGGAGTATAGTTTGCCCATCTCTCTCACTGAATAATTGTTATTTTTTTTCCACAGCTTGGTGTATTATGTCCCGCTTCTACTTTGCTGTGCACCTACGCCTCCCGATATTAGTGCATGGCTAGCTGCGGCTCTATGTTTTCTTACTAATCAAACCATCAACCTTTTGAGACTTGGATAGTTAATAGTTTGAGCAGCTTGATTTCCTACATCCTACATCCCTCTCTTTTTTAGATGTTGCATTCTTACTTCTTTCCCTGGATCGGTGCCTCGAGGTTAGGAGGGGCTTGGCTGGTCATTTTTTGCCTTTTGTAATAAATCAGTGGCATGTGCAAGGCTATAATTCTTAGGTAGCATCAGTAAAGATAAACTAAATGTGTTCTCTCAGTTATTACAACAAGCTTGGTTTCCTTCAGGCTCTTGATATGATAAGAGGGAAGGTATCCAAGTTATTGATGTTTAAGATGCAAACTTCACAGTGGGACGGTCTTCAACTTCTGCTAAATCCAATAAAGGGGACTTCTCTCAGATTCAATTTTTTTATTTAATGAATCCCTTCTTGTGTGCGAAATGCTAATCAGGGCGAACCAATTTAGAGTGACAAGTTTTGTTTACAGGATGTTCATGTATACAGTTTCTATCTCTTAGTAAGGCCCCTCTATGGTTATGCCAGTTTTACAAGATAGCCACATAGGTGCTAGGAGATATATGGCGTGCTTTCAACTATATCGTGGCAAACATATATGAGTTCCTATTTTATGTAGTATAAAACCGCGTAATACCCATGTAGTGTGGACAACTCTGCCTACTAATCAACAATAAAGAGATTTGTCCTGTACTAGGCGCCTTTTCATTAGCCTGTTCTAGACATTTTTTTTTGCTTGGAATCTTCAACTGGCAGCAAAATATTCTAGATTCTCTAGATTTTTGGTATTGAATAGTTATAAATGAATCCAGTCACATTTATCTACTATGCATATTCATACAAGCTTTGCACATTTGGATAACAACTGTTTTACTTGCAGCAATGCCCATGGGGGATCATGTTCCTAAATTTTTTTTCTATGTATTCTTCATGGATTTATATTTTAAAGTTCGCACTCTACTGTTGTTTTTTTATTAGGAACTAATTGGTGTTCTCTTTCTAACTATACTCTTTTTATACCGCTCTGACACGTGCTCTTTTTGTTTGGTCTAGATTATCATCCTTCTCCTATGATGTTACACATTATATTATTCGAGCATTGCTAATGCCTTTGGTTGCACCGGTTCAGTTTTCATGGTCTAGCCTTACAGCCATGTAATGAAGGACTTCTAGCTTCAATTGAGCCCAACTCTGACAACATAGTAGATGCAAATTGCATTGGCTTTTACCCATTCGGGTCACTAGCTGAGTTGAAGTATTTTTCATGCCTATCAATGTACCTTCGTTTATATGGCCACATGAAACTGCCTTGAAATAACTGAATTGCAGACTTCAATGATTCAACTTTCTGTGGGAAATCAAATTTATAGCAAGTTGTACAAGGATGTCCGCAGCAACGCACGGGAAATCATCTAGTATGAAAAATAGCCACGCATCACACTCTGTAAGCTAAGCATTGAAGATCGAATTATCATGTTCTGTAGTATAAAAAATAGAAGGAGAAAGAAGGCAAAGAGAAAGCCACCAAACTCGTGCAGTGTCACACACGAAGACAATAGGTGCACGCATGACATCATGCCTGGTGCGTGGCATCATCATCAGCGACCAAAGAGCAGGTGAGTCGAGGCATGGGCACGACGCAGAGCCTGGTGGCGCGTGGAACAGTGAGGCCGAAGACATCACGCATGTCGAGCTCCGATGGCACCATGCCGTCGGGAAGTGCCCAGTTGAACACATGAGCGAGCTGCGCGACAACGAGCTCCAACGAGTACAGGCCAAGCGGCGGCCAGACCCAAATGGCCCAAATGGCAGGAACTCAAAGCACCCGCCCTTGAAGTCGACCTCGGCGGCCTCCCCTTCCCCAACCATGAACCTTGAAGGTCGGAACACATCGGCGTCCTTCCACGCGCCGGCGTCACGACCGAGGGCAAAGACGTTGATCATGACGCGGGAGCCCCGGGGCACGGAGTAGCCGCCGCCGACACAATCCTCAGTATTCTCATGATTGAGCAATGGGATGGGTGGGTGCAACCGGAGCGTCTCCTTGATGACGCACTTGAGGAAGGGGAGCTTATCAAGGTCCGTTTCGTCCACATTCTGATCGAGACCCACCGCGTAGGTGTGCTCCTGTTGCAGACGTCGGAGGTCGTCAGGACAATGCGTCATCTCCACCATTGCCCACTCGATCGCCGACGCCACCGTCTCCGTCCCGCCAAACATCACGTCCTGTCATACATACATACATACATACATACATACATACATATAGACAAGCACATTTTAGTTTAAAAACATAGTACGGGTAACAAACTCATTTTAGTTTAAGAAACATAGTAGTAACAAATTCATCTTAATTTCCCTCATGTTATTAAAGATAAAAATATTATGTTACTTTTGAATGGTAGATCTACCTTATAATAGGCATTTTAAAGTTTTAAATCCACTCGGTCCATTGCTATGTCATGAATATGGACGCCGGTAACTGCCACACGTGTGACACAATGGATACCCGATCATACAAGTCGTGTGGTCGTATCCAGGAGACAGCCCACACGATTTTGTGTGGACGAACATTAAAACTGCCCACACGTTTGGGCGCAGCTACGATGACCCACACGACCCTTTGTGGCAACTACTCATCCCCACCCCGTGAGTGCGAACGTGTGTGTAATCAATTTTAGTTGCCATGTGCAATTAACTCTAGTTGCCATGTCGGCCATGTATCATTAAATATAGTTGCCTTGTGTAACTAATTGGAGTTGTCACGTGTGGTCAAACCATACTTGCCATGTATTATCAACCATAGTTGCCGTGTGTGATTAACTAGTTGTCACATATGCACACCTGTAGTTGTCGTATGTGGTTAAACCATAGTTGTCATGTGTGATCAATCATAGTTGCCATGTGTGATTAAATAGTTGCCACATATGCACAGCTGTAGTTGCCATTTATCACCGTGTGAGCATCATGTGGGTGAAGAGCAGTTTCGCCCACACGTTCAGGCGAGCATCATGTGTCCGTTCAGACGAGGAGCGTACATATGTGTGACACTAAATAATAATATCCACACGACATTGGATGCTCAGGTGACTCTCGGCAACTGCTTCAAAATTCGTATAAATGAATCGAACGGCATCGAATATGTCTGTGAGTGTGAGCGTGTTAATAAGTGTCAGACGCGTGAGCGTTATTATTTGGGATAAGTAAACAGCTTTTTCTTATCTAACACAGAAATTCTACACGGCTCTTGATGTCTAGATCTGGGAGCTAAAGTGTTGACTGAAACTTACCTAATTCTTAGAAAAATCTATCTTTGGCGCATATATGGCAGTAAATAACCGACGGAAGTTTGGATCTACTACGTACCATCATCATTGATCATGGCCTTGATGTTGTCACGGGTGAGGCGGAGCGTGTTCTGGAGGTCGTCCCCGCCGTCGCCGGCGGGCTTCTTGGTTCTCGCCTCAGGAAGGAACGCGAGCATGTCATCCACCATGTCAGCGTCGACGTCGTCGGGGTTCCTTCCCCTCTTCATGTGCTCGTCGATGATCTTGTCGATGAACTGGTCGAGCGCGGCGCGCGCGGCGCGGAGGCGCACGCTGATGCCCTGCGGGTCCGCCCAGCTGAGCCACGGGATGAAATCGCCGATGCAGAACTCGACGAAGAGCTTGGAGAACTCCTGGAGGATGTCGACGAACTCTTCCTGTCTCCCGCCGTCGCCGGCGGCTCCGGCGCCGAACGCGGCGCGGAAGGTGACGTTCTTGGCGAGGTTGAAGATGAGCTCCCCAAGGTTCACGGTCTCGCCGCCCCGCCGGGCCACGGCGCGGACGAGCGCCGCGGACTCGTCGCGCACGGCGAGCCACGTCTCCGGACGGCGCCGGCTGAAGAGCTTCATCACGCACAGCTTGCGCATCTGGCGCCAGAAGGACCCGTGGTGCGCGAACGCCATGTCGGCGCGGTCGTAGGTGAGGTAGGTGGCGGCGAGGGTAGCCGGCCGGTTGGAGAAGGCAGCGTCCTGCACCTGCAGCACCTCCTGGGCGTACTCCGGCGTCGACACGGCAAAGGCGTGGACCTTGCGGAGGCGGAGGTGGAGAAAGCCACCGTACTTCTTCGCCAGCGCTGTGAGGCCCCGGTGCGTCAGCTGGTCCATCATTGACATGTTGCCGACGATCGGCAGCGGGTTCGGCCCTGGAGGCAGCGGCGGCGCCCTGCCCCGCCGCCGCCACTGCAGCAGCGTCACGAAGACCACCGAGGCAACGAACAGCCAGCTGAGCGGATCTTGGAGCCATTCCATGGCGATCTTGGTCAAGCCCACCATTGCTGGTACTCGAACTAGAAGCTCTAGTTCTTGTTGTTTTCTTCTTGGGGTATTCTACTGTGTGGGTTTTAGACTGGAGTAACGCTTTTCGAGTAGAGACGAGGAGAAAAGTTGAGGGTGCCGTCCAGCCGGATTTATATAACTTTTTTTCTTTGCGATGGAGGGTTTATATATTGTCGGAGCACTAGGTGAGACGAGTGAGATCTGAGAGCATCTACACCCGGACTTGCAAATTCGACCCCTATACGTCCGTGAACACGTTTGGACACGCCCGTGACTGCATTCAAATGGGTCTTCATATTTCGCACATGACATCTATATATCTTAAATTCGGGCTCTCAAATTCATGCACGTTGATCTTACAAGTCAATGTCGCACACAAATAACAAATGTTGGTACAGAGCATAGATAGTGTTTACATAAAATTTATTTTAAATGCACAACTCAAATATTAGCTTCCTGGTTCCAATTGTGGGTTCACATGTGCTTCAAAAGATCATTGAGTAGCTGTGTGTGTACCTGATAATCTCGAATATTCTGATGCATCTGCAGAAAATTCATAAACTGAGCTGCATCTTGATCCTTCGGGATTTCAACCTGTTCTCCGGGTGCTTCAAAATCATTGGTTTGGTCTACACCATCACCCTCACTGTCGATAATCATATTGTGCAAAATAACATGGCTGTCATCAGCTGCCACAAAGTTTCTGATTCCCACATCATTGCAGCGCTACGCACATTTCCCCAACGAGTTTGAAGCACATCAAATGCCCTCTCCACATCTTTCCTAGCCGCTTCCTGCATTGTTGCAAAGTGGTTTTGTTTATTGCCATGTGGTTCAGATATGGTCTTTGGTTCTTCACAAACGCCGTCTACTGAGGATAGATGCCATCGGCCAGATAGTATCCCATGTTATACTCTCGACCGTTGACAGTGTAGTTGCACGGTGATGATTCCCCATTGCAAAGCCTCCTAAACACTGGAGATTGTTGAAGCACGTTGATGTTATTGTGAGAACCCGGCATTCCGAAGACAGCATGCCAAATCTATAAGTCATGTGATGTCATCGCTTTTAGTATGATGGTGGCCTCTTTGGTGTGACCTTGATACATTCCCCGCAAACTTTTGGGGCAGTTTTTCCATTGCCAATGCATGCAGTCAATTGATCCGAGCATTCCTGGAAACCCCCTTGCCTCACCAATAGCCAACAACTCCTCTGTGTCCCGCGCATTTGGTTATCTGAGATACTCAGTTCCAAACACCTCCACCATGCGCGAGCAAACTTGGCAGTAGTCTTCAGGCACATGCTCGCCCCCATCCTGACCATCTCACCAACGACATCTGCAGCAGTACCCAGTGCAAGCATCCTCAGAGTAGCCATGCACTTCTGATTGGCAGAGAAAGAGAGTTGTCCACAGCATTCCCATGTGAGCATGAAGTAGTCATCGTGTGCCTCCACTCCCTCCGCAATGGGCCAAAACAATGATTTCTGCATGCGAAAACGACGACGAAATTATGGATCATCCAAGAAAGTAGGCTTGGGAGCAAAGTAGTCCCTGTGTAGTAGCTTTGCTCCAGACACCCTATCCCAGTTGATCACTCTTCTCCCTTTGATTGAGCCCTTGCAATTGAGAATATGCTCTAGTTGTTGGTCAATTTTATCTTGCATCCTCATGAGCATGAGCATGCCCACTTCTTCGTCTGAATCCGACGAATCAAAAAACTCATGTTGAATCATTTGATCAAGCTCCATCGGTCCATACTCCTCGTCCGACGAAGCATGGGAATCCATCATTTTCCCTAATAAAATCACAAAAATCCTATCAGACAATGTGGCGAACACATCAAGCGGAAGGCGGAACCAGAGAGTTGTCCGATGTATTGCGGTGATGTCTGGGCTGGCGACGACGTCCCACACGGCGGAGGATGGGACAGAGGACTGCTCTGCCGGAGTCGGCAACACAGAGGTTAGGAACGGCTGCGGAGCACGTGCGGCGGCGGAACTGCGAGACGAACGGTGCGGAGGAGGAAGAAGAGAGGAGATAAAAAATGGATCTGGTAGGTCTGGGGGTGGATTTGGTGTAATTTGCGATGGGATCGGGCTGTCGGGTACGACGTGGTGGGCGTGCACTCTGGTTCATCATGGGTGGGCAATAGACATTGTATAGAAAGACTTGTAATATCTTTAATCTTCTTGCTCTTTTGCTCTTCTTTAACATGATCATCTTCTCTTCTCTAATAAGTATGTTTCTTGTTGGGAAGAGTAGCAGAGACATTTGCGGTTGACTGGTCAGGTCGAGTTGTTCTCCCTTAGTATATTCTGAATCTGACAGGTCAATTCGACTTGTTCTTCTTTACTATATGTTGAAGTTATTATCTGCGAAGTATCATCACTTCTGGAGCTCTCGTATTTTGAGTAGTAGGCCACATTATATTAATGCACACACCAAATTACAACATGCATGACATCTCTCAGAAAAATTGTAGAGATAGCACAAAGGGGTTTACAGGGAGGCAGTATTGGAATAGAATCACTTCTGCATTACAAAAATAATCTCACTTATTTTCATATTTTCATGCATGTCAGGTATTGAACATGATCAAAATGAATATGAGAATGGGCGCACGAGAGGAATATTGCGGAACAATCCACTGGCTAACAAAACTTGGCATGGTGGAGGATGGCCTATCTTATTCACCCATCAAGGTGCTTGCTCTAACTTGGCAAGGTTGTATTGGTCGCTGGTGTCTACTACGCAACTTTATTCTTGTAGACACATGTTGGGCCTCCAAGCGCAGAGTTTTGTAGGACAGTAGCAATTTTCCCTCAAGTGGATGACCTAAGGTTTATCAATCCGTGAGAGGTGTAGGATGAAGGTGGTCTCTCTCAAACGACCCTGCAACCAAATACAAGAAATCTCTTATGTCCCAAACACACCCAATACAATGGCAAATTGTATAGGTGCACTAGTTCGGCGAAGAGATGGTAATAAAAGTGTAATATGATGGTAGAAATATATTTTTATAATCTGAATAAATAAAAACATCAAGGTAGCAAATAGTAAACGGGCACAAAAACGGTGTTGCAATGCTTAAAAACAAGGCCTAGGGTTCGTACTTTCGCTAGTGCAACCTCTCAACAATGCTAACATAGTTGGATCATATGATTATCCCTCAAAGTGTGACGAAGAATCACTCCCGAGTTCCTATTAGCGGAGAACAAAAGATAGGAATTGTTTGTAGGGTACTAAACCACCTCAAAGCTATTCTTTCCATTCGATCTATTCAAGAGTTCGTACTAAAATAATGCAAAGCTATTTTTTCCGTTTGATCTATCCTAGAGTTCGTACTAGAATAACACCAAAGCATATTCATATTCATAATACTCAATCCACACAAAGAACTACAAAGAGTGCCCCAAGATTTCTATCGGAGAAACAAGGACAAGAACGTGCATCAACCCCTATGCATAGATTACCCCAATGTCACTGTGGGAATCCACAAGTTGAGTGCCAAAACATATATCAAGTGAATCAATATGATACCCCATTGTCACCACGAGTATTCAATTGCAAGACATATATCAAGTGTTCTCAAATCCATAAAAGTATTCAATCCGATAACCATGAAATCTCAAAGGGAAAACGCAATTCATCACAACAAGATAGAGAGGGGAACATATGATCCGACTATATTAACAAAGCCCGCGATACATCAAGATTGTGACATGTCAAGAACACGAGAGAGAGAGAGAGATTAAACACATAGCTACTGGTACAAACCCCCGGCCCCGAGGGTGGACTACTCCCTCCTCATCGTGGTGGTCGCCAGGATGATGAAGATGGCCACCGGAGATGATTCCCCCCCCCCTCCGGAAGGGTGCCCGAATGGGTCTAGATTGGTTTTCGGTGGCTACGGAGCCCTATGGCGTCGGAACTTCTGATCTAGGTTAACCCCCAAGGGTTTCGGAATATTTGGCAATTTATAGTGCAAAGAAGGGGTACGGGAGGCCACCGAGGTGGGCACAACCCACCTAGGCCTGGCGCGCCCTGGTGGGTTGTGCCCCCCTCAGGGCACCCCCCAGGTGCAGCTCTAGCCCATTGGGTTCCTTCTGGTCCAAAAAAAATCTCCAACAAGTTTCGCGGTGTTTGGACTCCCTTTGATATTGATTTCCTGTGATGTAAAAAACAAGCAAAAACAACAACTGACACTTGGCACTGGGTCAATAGGTTAGTCCCAAAAAATGATATAAAGTTGCTATAAAATGATTGTAAAACACCCAAGAATGATAAAATAACAGCATGAATACTTCATAAATTATAGATACGTTGGAGACGTATCAGCATCCCCAAGCTTAATTCCTACTCGTCCTCGAGTAGGTAAATGATAAAAGAAATAATTTATGAAGTGTGAATGCTAGCAAAGTGCATAAGTTTGATAATAATTTCAATCACTTTTCCTAGCATCATAACAACAATTCTTTCTTATGAAACTTCTCATGTTATAGTGGCAACCAATTCACATGTTAAGGTTCAAACAATGAATTCTCTTGAAACCCAACAACCTATGTTCTTAGTCACCAAGCAATTGCAATTCAACTTATTCAACAGAGTTTAAGTAAGAGCTCCACATACTCAACCATCAAATGGTCTTCTATGATTGCTAACACTCACCTTGTACACATGAGCAAAATGTTTCAACCGGACACATAGAAAGATAGGGGCTTATTGTTTTGCCTCCCAACGTATTCACCTCAAGGGTGATGTCAACAATAATAACTCATGCTACCCATATTCAACTGGACATATGTGCCTAGATCTTTCCTCACCACATGATGCTTGCCAAAAGAGAAAAATAAAAAGGAATAGAGATAAGAACTTTGACTCTTTGCATAAAAGTAAATACATAAAACTAAAAGATAGGCCCTTCGCAGAGGGAAGTAGAGATTTGTAGAGGTGCCAGAGCTCAAAGAGAAAATTGAGATATAAAAACATTTTGAGA